CACACACACACACACACACACACACACACACACACATTACACCCATCCTGTTGTTTATTTCTGTTTGACTGAAGCTGATTCTGTGAAGAAACAGTCAGTGCTGTGGATGAAAGCTTGTCAACGCTTTGATGCTTTATTAGGAATAAGCTATTAGTCTTATAACAGTGTGAGTGTACTGGTAGTGAGGTTGTCCCACAGTACAGCCAAGGCAATGCAGGAAAAAAAATGCATCCCATCTCTTAAGCCTTTATCAGTAACACAGAAAGAAAACAAATGAGGAATGAGGAGGATGCTAAAAATAAAATAAAAAAATCAAGCAGTACTGTTGTTTTAAACTTTTTAAAATTAAACCAAAAGAAAAACAAATCATACTGATAATACACACAAACAATTTTCATGCAAAGCAGACTCAATGCCATTAATCTTCTCAATGTCAAGTGGGAATTTATTTTAAGCATTTAGCTTCAATTCTTATAAAACATATTTTTATGTTAGACTATGTAAGATAGCTACTATATGTTTATTTTGCTTTCAAAATCCAATGTCTAAAACCTAAACATCAATTTGGTGGGATTAGTTGTTTTTTTTTTTTTACCAACTTTCATCAAAATACTGCATGACTCATGGAAAGACATTACATAAAGTCTAATCCTTAGCATTATAAAAAAGAAAGTCTTAGACATAAAAAAACTACTGATGTCTGTAAACTGCTTGTTTCTTGGCAGTCATTAAAGCTTTGCAAGTTTAGAATATGTTGCATTGTTTTTATATCGCATATTTCTTTTTTTACTTTAGATTCAGGCATTGCTGATTGACTTTATCAAAGTCAAACAGCAATGCCTCATAAATGAAAGCAACCAATTGCCTCATAAAATTAAGCAACAAATCAGTAAAATAAGAATAATAATAATATTTGTGTTATTACTTATACTAAAGTTCTAAAAGGTTCTACTTAAAAAAATTCTAAAAGAAAATATGAATAAAATCACRCGTTAACTTTCTGCTGCTTTTGTTTAAACATAATTTTCTAATAAAAACAAATGTAAAAGCCGTGGATATGCATATTTTCAAGACTACATTGTCATTGTACTGTATTCCTTGTTTGACTTGCAAATGATTTTCTTCTTTAAAAAAGATTTTACTGCAACAGGAGACATGTTTATTAAGATTTTTATTGTGATTCATGGCAGAGAAAAAAAAAACACCTTATTTTTAGTCACCTCATAGCTTTAACAAGTTACCATTTCTGTTTAAATAAAATAGTATAATAACATGCAAATCCATTTAAGTGTATCATAAATAAATATAATTGGGCATTTTGTAAACAGTATTTTGATGATGATAGAATTAATTTACTCTATTTTTAAATGAAAACCACTGCCAATGGTTGTCATCTCATTAATTAATTGGCAGACAGCTTGAAAATCTTTTAGTTTCAATTGCAAATAGGCTACTTAATTATGTAAAATAAAATAAATAAAAATAACGTAAAAAGTGTTAGTTCATAAATCACTAAACCAATGCTGGAAATGGAAATAAACTAAAAAATAACAATCTGGATTATTGCCAGGCTCTTAAGTAAGAGGTGGCAGCAGATATTGTAATTATTTTTCTTATCTGCTGTGGCTGATTTTTTTTTCATGTTGTTTACTTTTGCATTATGCAGACTTAATTAGACTATGATGGAGAAGGTAGTGAAGGGTACTGCTCAGTGGATAAAGTTGTTCATTTGTCACCAACTTCTCATGAGCATCAAACCTCAAGCTGCTCCCTGCAGGTGAGCACTTTACCTGGCAGCTCTTGTGCCATTAGTGTCGAAAATTGGGACTGACTGATCAAGACCTTGGAATAATTTTCTTAACAAAGTTCATATTCGTGATGAATCTTTCAATCAAAGTTTAGTTGTTGCTTAAAAAAAATAAATGAATGAACTTTCTAATTAGCAAAAATCATTGTGTTCCATTTATTTTTATTTTAGACAGGAAATAAATTAAAATACTAGAAACATATGTTATTTTTCGTCAAATGTTTACTTGTTGCACATTTTGAAAATGTAATAAAACTGTTTTGACACCACACGTGTTTATTTATTTATGACTGGCAGTATTTCTCTGAAGGCTAAATATATAGATTAACCCTTCCTCAGTTGTGGAGACTCATTTTTTGACACTTCTTATTAATAGTTTGAAACAGGTAAGTCTGGATTTTCTTATTTTTTTCTACACAGAATCTGAGTATTCACATTCTAAAATGAAGCCACTGGGTTCAGTTCTTGTCAGATTAAAATGTGCATTGTATGCCTAACTGGGGATTATGTTTACTTATATCTAAAAAACAAAATATACCACAAAGTTAAAATCAGAAGCATGTGCACACATAAAGAAAATACATACTGTGCAAAGGTAACATTATGTAGCTTTTCTACTTTTGGCTTTGCAGTTTTTTAGGCAAATAGATTCCCCATCAACTCAGGTAACACATAATATACATGTATAAAAAGCCCTAACATGTAGCTTTTTTGTAACATTAGGGAATAAGGACCTACAGTAAATTAATATCTAAATAAATCTTAAAAAATAGCAGTAGTTATTTTTTTTTCCTTTTGTTTTTTAATCAGTCCAGATCCAGAGACTCCAGATGACTTTGAGCTTCTTGGTCAAGTTGGTAACTGGGTGCATCTGTTGTCAAAACACAAACAATCTGAGAGACAACTTGAAAAGGGAAAACAATGCACCGAGGCTCCATAAAAGAGTGTGTGGCAAGCGTCTGTCATCTATTTTAATGTTTAAATATACAGCATGTGTCTTTGTATGTACTGGTAGGAGGGCAGCTTAGCTGTGTTTGAGTGTTTTCCTGGAAGACTTTTAGACAGCATCCCTGCAAGACAAGAAAAATAAATAAAAAAAGGTAGAATAAGTTAAGAAAACTGGATTTTTAGCATCTATACAGAGGTTAAATAAATTTCATATTTCATCATATTCAAGCATATTGGTTTAAGCATAACAACTCCCACACAAGCACACCTACTCAATTTCATATCCTTCCACATCTGCCTGCACATGGGAGCAAATGCAGATTGGTATGATGTAACAGCTTCCTCCGGTTTGCTCTTGCTGTGAATGCTTGCATACATTCGGGACTGAATTTGAAATCTAATTTTATTCAGACACTAGCTGTCAATGTTGTCCACAAAATTTATTTGTGAAACTCATGTGGGAACCCCAGCCAGGTAGTTCACACCTCCACCTCCTCAGTGTGGTGTGTTAAAGCAGGAGACACTTTTGACAGCACTGAGATCCATTTTAAACTGGAGAGCTTACTTGACCAGTGGCAAAAACTGACAGCTGCCGGCATGGTTTCTATCAGCAAAGAGGTGAAACTGATTTGTTTTTTTGAAACTAGGTTATTTATTGGGCTACATTTTTGTAATCTAATTTGAGTGTGAATGCACATTTATTAACAACATAGTAGAAATAAACCTTTAACTGAATATCCATTGGATCATTAGTAATAGGCTGGAGTGGATTCTGTCAAAGCACTACAATATTGGCACATAATCTGTTGCACTGGAACAAAATATATTGCTGGGGTTACATAAATAATTTAAAACTGTTTTGTTCCAGATATTTATGTAGTCGTGTGTATGTTTATGTGCCGGCAAGTAGAAAATAGACCAGTCAGACAGAATCATAAAGGCAACAAAGTTATATAT